AAACTTATTATAAATATAATTAAATATTAAAGAGTTAACGTTAATTATTATAATTAATTATTATAATTAATTTATTTATTTAATTTATATTATTATATTATATTATTATACGTTTATAGGTATTTATAAGATACCTATCTTTATATTAGGTTACCCGTGGTATACCCAAACCACCTACATGATAAAATGGGTAGCCCACGAATAACCCAAGAAAAACTTGGATACCCACGGGTGCCCGTTTTTACACTCTACTCGACAACTGCATCTGCCCGCATCGGTCGATGACCAACGCACCCAGTTGTGTCACCAACCCTCACTTGCGTATCCCGTGCTTGAGGAAGACGAGAGCCTCTCATTCGCCGAGAAGAAGTATTGGCTTAGGCAGAAGCATCTTCCTACGGAGTAGAGAAGCTGGATATGGAGGCCATCCACTCCATCCCAAGGTGATGCCACAAGAGGCCAATAAAAACCAGAGATTCTTTCAGCAAAAAGTAAACAATCGACCACTCATTTGATTGGACATAGTAATACCATAAGTAACAAAATAGCCTGACTTAATTGGCATGTGAAATACTGCAGCGCCCCAAGATGCTCGCTCTCACTATCAGGTAAGCATGGCTATGTTTAATCACTATCAACGGAATGGAAGGGGTATTAATTGCCATCCAAATAGAGCGCGTTCTTTTTGCGGCAACCACAGTCCTAAGCAATCACCAACATGAACTAGGAACTCTAATCAAAGAGAATTCTGACCAAACAAAAAAAAAACAAAAAGCGAATATCCGTCTCAGCATCCATTCTGGTCCAGATCGTTATAAACCCGCATCCTCCTCTGGTTAAACACTTTTGTACTCTGGTAGTTGGAAATGACATAGACGAAAACGAGCACGAAGCTCAGGATAACTAGCATAAGCGGCGCCAGGATGGAAAATACCGTGAATCCCCACGACACCTGCTGAAACGCGAAATTGCCTTTCAAGTAGTCCGTTGAAAGCCCGAGTTACATGGCTGTCAAAACCAACAGGATATAGGCGGTAGCCGTGACGACTGGGACAAGACATGCTTCGAGTAGCTGGCCGTACGTGGTGAACCCGAATTTGTATCCACGCATCAGCCCTACTGGCCCGTCTCCGGAGCAGGTCAGGCTGCGCCAGCGGGAAATTTTGTTGAGTCGCGACAGTCGCAGCTCTCCGTATCTGTACCGCGGGTTGACCCGTGTGATGTTGCGAGGGCTGTTCTCCAGAAGCTGCCATGAGGTCTGACGCCATGATCCCAGTCCACGTCCGCTGGCAGTAAGTGGTTGCTTGCGGCGACATGGTAGTCGCTCTCGTGCTGGATCAAGGCCGTGTACGACAGTAGGAAGCCATAGGCGCACCCGTACAGCTGTCGCCGTTTGCTTAAAGCGTTGGACGGAGCACCTGGGCCATCTTGCTGCAGGCTCACACCAGAGACGCATGAAGAATTATCCTGGGCCGCCGTATCACAGGCGAGATGTTCGGTCCAGAAGGCCGCATTGAGCAAGTATCGTGGAAGGGGCTTCAAAAATATCCGCCCGGGCTCCCATACAAGATGGAGATTGACGTCCTCCACCACGGCTATATTTCGCGAGGCCGCAAGCTGGTAGGTGAGCGGTCGTGGAGGCATGGGGCGTCCAGCTAGCCAAAGAAGGTCATGGACATCATTCAGACTTGGGACACCCAGTTCCCCTTCCAGAAACTCCATGTCAGCTCGGGGGCGTTGGACAATGTCCATGGCGCGGTATTGTCGGCTATTCAATTCAATATCTGCTTTCGATAGGCGAGATGCCGGCATTAATTCTTCCCATTTCTCGACTCGGCCATTGGATCCATTGCCTTTTGTTTTGAATGGGACCGGCAATGGCTCCTTCAGTACGGTGAGCGCTCCCGCATCGAATGCTTCCGGGGTAGACGGCTAACTTACTGTTTCCTGTCGAGTCGCCATCATGCTACGAGCCATTCTATCTGAGAGTAGAGATGGCTTCTAATGACTATAGATGGACGTCCACTACTGGCACGGGACAAGCATTGACCAAACAAAACCATTCTGAAGCACCTTGGCCAACAGCTCGGCCTGGCAGAGGCCAAGAACTGCCACACTATTTTATGGGCTCTTCTATCATGTCCAACAGGGAACTCTTAAGGCTGTCGAGCTACGATGATCGCGGTCAGGAGGTTGGGCATCAGCGAAGCGTGTGCAGCGTGCATATCTGTGCGATGCTGTAAAGGACATCACATCTGCGGGAGGATTCAACAGTCACATGCATAGGCGCCGGGGGGCTCCATATACTGACAAAGGTATTGCGTACTTTTCGGATCAATGTGCGGCTGTGACAAGGGCTTGGAACAATATTCGTATCAACCCATGATTCGCGTTGATATTAAAGGCCCTTGGTTTTCTCAAGGCCTTAGAGGGCAGATGACCCTTACTTATACAAACCAGTGGTGAGCAGGCGAGCCTGGAGGCCTAAGGCCTCAACTAGGTCTCGAGTCCTTGTGTAACTATCTTCAGGTTCAAGGTACGGCCCGTACCTTCAATGCTACGTGACCTCCGTGTAACAGCGGCGCCACTGTCGCGGACGAATCGAACTGTGCCGTACACGCCTTGCCTACACTTGAGAAAGAATTATCTTTGAGGAACTCATCAACATCAATAGAAGAAAGCTTCCTCAAACTGTTTTACACTAGAGCTACTATAATTCCATAATAGATAACCCATGGCCTAGATCTGTCCCTGTGATGGATGAAGGCATCTTGGCACCACTCGGCTTACACACCTCTTAGCGATTGGTTCTAGACGCCTCAAGCACTATGGTCACTTCTTCCGTCAGACTTTTCTCTTGTCCAAGTCCAAGTAGCTCATTATCCTGATGTTGCCATGGGGGAACCCCTCCAAAGAATGGACTAATCAGTGCTCCCGAGAATTGCGTTCTTCCAAACGTCCCGGCATCCACAGCAGCCATGCTATAAATCGTATGTTCTCGTGCCGCGATATTCTTCCGTTTCCAGCCTACTCCGTCCAACGTCTCTATCATGGTCAAAATCTCTGCCAGGGATGTTGTAAAGTCTGAAATATGGAGGAACCGATTCTTCACACCGGTGGAAAACGCCGCTGAAAGTACAGCAACGACAGCCGACCCCGTAGTTGCCAAGGTTGTAGCGGAGAAGGGGGGAAGGCCGTGATCTGGCAACACTGCAGTCCTGTTCTGGAAGTCGAATGCTATCAAGCCTACGGCGAGACCTAGAAGCCAGAAGTAAGGCGAGACATCGAATGCAAAGATGAATGTATAGTCATGTTACTTACTGGTTGGAATGATAACTCCAGTATACACAACGGCGAAAGCAATCTGGTTTTGCGCTGCTCTTGCCATGAGATAATTGTGTACTGCCCTTTTTGGAGCGAGAACGGCATTTGGTCGGAGTGACCTCCCTATCCAAGGGTCCTCCGTCACATTCGCCCCAGCCGAGTCAGGCGCCCACTCTGATGGAATAAAGAACTTCACACCGGCCTCAATCGCGGCGTTGATCATTCCTATCTCTACCACGTCTATATCTGACTGTGGACCGAATGCCACAACGCTGACCACCGCGTCAATACCTCGGAAAGCAGCCACAAGCGAGGCATGAGATTGGAAATCAACCTGCTTGACCGTCACAGAGTCGGGGACGATATCTATGTAGTTCTCTGGCGGCTTGCGGACAAGAAGCGTTATTTTGAACTTTTCTGAGGCGGCCACAACATCAAGAAGTGGTTTGCCATTATTTCCAGTCTGCATAGTAGAGGTTAAGAAAATCAGCATTCCAGAAACAGGTGGAATATGTGAACAGGAGGCACGTCTTACCCCGATCCAAGCCACTGTACTAACTGACATAGACATCGTGATCAAACAAGTATTCTTTGAAATGGGTATCTTGCTCTATTACCAAGAGGTCAGTGACTCTACTTAGATATGTCGGGACGTATCCGTGGCAGCGGCGCCGGTACATTCGCTTTGCGTTGCTTAGGATGCTTGGCTGTTACAAATGGTTGAGGACAAACTTGTTGCCGTCGCCTCGGCTAAAGTTTGTGGCAAAAATAACCATTGAAATTGAAGGGTATGCCGAGAATTTCATTTGCAGTCGGTAATCAAATGGGCGGACACTGTAATCATGTTGTTTAAGTAGAGGTAACGGCCGCCTGAGGGAACATTATGAATCTTTCGTAAACACCAAATCTGGGTGACTAGGCTTCAGCCATCACCAACATTGAATGGTCGCATTGTCTCACCCATGAGCATTGGTGGCGGTTGGCAACAAAACGTTATTCCTGGGTCGTGGAACAGGTCAAATGGCAACAGCCACTTGGAAGGAGGCCGGATTGGACGTCATTTGGGGGCCACTTCACATGGTCTTCGAAAACAACGGGGCTTTTTTTGTACTTGGACTGCTTGCTGCGCAATATGGGCGGCTTCGATTGTGACTGGAGGATGCTCTGGTGATGGCTTGCTCTTGGCGCCCACGGCCACCAGAGAGCTGTTGTCGGGCGATCGCCAGTCGAGACCTCCGAACAAATGCGCACAAGCAGTGGACTCGGATGCCTCGGATAGCAATTTCGAGTTGCCAATATTGGTGTTACTTAGAGTTCGGTCCCTCGAGAAGGAAGCGCCAGCTGTGCTAGTCGAGCTGGTAACGCGATGAGGTTATACAGCTGCGAAGGAGCAGAGCCAATGATAAAATATGCATCCGTAAAGAAAAGATACTATTGTAGGACTCTGCTCTGACCACTTGTGATTTCCAATCCAGTGTGGCCGAAATAGCGTCATCTCCTTAAGTCTCGGTATTGTTAAAATGCACTCTTGAGCAGAATTGTTGCTCATAATGACAGACACTTACCATCACTGCACAAATAGCCAAGTCCTAAGGTTCTGAAAATATGAACCGTAGGCCACCATAGAGGCCGGGTACGCTGGTTGGGCGGTTGAAGAAGGTAGCTGGAAATACGTGGCTTATAGTGAGACGCCACGGCGAGGCTATGGCGAGCGACACATAGCAGGAGATTATTCATAATCCTTCATCATTTCATCAATCTAAGTAGCTTTGTTATAGTTTTTACTATCATGCAGGGTGGCAATTAGCCTTGGTCGGGTTATGAGTACACATATAGATAGACACCCTTATGCGACTGATTCTCCATCAGCGCCTAGCCTTCTAACCTCCGTAAAGAAACCTTCAACATATTGACCCTGAAACACAATGAAAACCGCTCTGGTCATAGGAGGCACCGGCGCCCAGGGCGTGCCGGTTGTCAAAGGTCAGCCAGAAACCTGGTCCTTTTTCGAGACATTTACTCAACGTAATCCTAGCACTGGCATCCGACTCTGAATATGCTGTTCGCGTCATTACAAGAAACGCTTCTTCCAAGGAGGCCATCGAATTGGCAGCCATCCCTGGGGTGACAATCTTGGAAGGAAATACCTATCACGAGCCAACGCTTCGTGAGGCGCTGAAGGACGTGGACTACGTCTTTGCCAATACCAACGGATTTGCCATTGGAGAAGTGGCAGAAATCTACTGGGGCATTCGCATTTATGAGCTTTGTCGGGAATCTAAAGTGAAGCACTTCATTTACGCGGCTCTCGAGTATGCTTCAAAGCTCGGGAATTTCGACCCCAAATACCGTTGCGGCCACGTTGACGGGAAAGGCAAAGTCACCGACTACATTTCCGCTCAACCCACTGCTCCAATGGCCTGGACTGTCGTAACCTCCTGCATGTACATGGAGGGACTTTCAGAATTTCTTCAACCTTTTCCTGACCGTGAAGATCCAAACACTCTTGTCTTTGCAGCTCCGCTGGGAGAGGGGAAATGCCCTCTCATTTATCTTGAAGACTATGGCCAATATGTCCGATGGGTTTTCGACACTCCATCTCGGAGTAGCGGCATGCAGTTACATGTCGCAACGGAAGATATCGCTTGGAAAGACCTTGCTGCTGCCTTTACAAAGGTCACTGGTCGAAAGGCGATATATAAAGACCTAACTCTGGACGAATACTTCAAACTGCCAATTTTTCCAAATCCAGAAATGACCGTTGGTCATTCCACCAGTGGAGAGAACCCCACGCTGCTTACTTTCCGTGAAAACTTTTCGGGCTTTTGGAATATGTGGAAGGATAACCTGACAAAGCGTGATTACAAGCTTCTGATTGAGATCCTGCCGTCTAGGGTGAAGAGTGTGCAAGAATGGATGGAGAAAACAGGATATACCGGAAATCCCTCGCCAGTTCTCAAGGACTACCGTGATGGGGTGGGCAGCAGAAATGCTCCCAAGACGTAAACATGCTATCTCGGTATTGTATAAAGGAGGCGATGTAGTAGGACCTAGTTAAATTTGAAGTTGAGTAAATGAAACGACTTGAGGCCCAAAGCCGACAAATTTCTGGATCTGGCGCTGCAGTGTAAAAACCCTTGACGTTGACGAAGTATTCTCCAGAAAAGGGAGGACGGACTTCAGCTGATATACACTCCCTCCGATTGCTGGCCTCATTTTCTATGACAACGGCACCTGAGGAAAGCTCTCTCTTTAGCTATTGCCTTTAGCCCCAATCACTCTCATTAGGGTGTGCTCCGACCTCCGTTATGGCAAACCCTTTAGCATGGCGAGACGACTGTCAGAAATGCGACAGTCAAACAGCTGTCGCTAGAACGAAGACGATATATCCGTTGTCACAAGTGCGGAGGACAGATGCTTTGAACGCAGGGTTAATGTGGCATCGTACGTGCGGAAACATGACTACCGAACGATTCATATACGCCGAGACAGAAATACGTCCGAGACCCCCGGTGTCAGTTTTCCCTTGGATAACGGAATGGTTCCAGAATATGCCGCACCTCTTCGACAATAATCGTGGGATTTGACGCAAATTATGGTACACGGGCTCGCATTTCCAAGGCTATGGGCAATCTTCGGAGGTGGAAGCCGCGTAAGCTCGCCATGGGCCCAAGATGCAAGAGACATAGCCATTTTACCTTGCTTACTACTATACTCGATCCAGCGCTGGATTTGCAATGGTTGCTTGAGCCATCAATGTTACCGAGACACTTTTTCATTCACTTCGGCCCGGTTACTCGATGTCGGAGAAATCACCCAGTGCTCAAACTGCGGAATCACGACGACGGTTCCCTCCATACCCATAAGTAGCCATGATCATCTCATTCAAGGTATGAATTCCCGTCACTTGGGACAGAGTTAACACAGCCTTAAAAAACCTTTCCAAGGGCTACTTTGCTATGAAACCCCTCGATAGTGTGCTCAACAGGAGCACGAGGACCGGATCCCACTCAGACGCGACTATGGAGTAGAAACGGGTATCCTTAGAGTAAGTAGGTAAAAAAAATGACCTATAGGTGCCCATAAATTTAAATAGGTAAGACAGGTGCCCATATAAGACTCAAATCTCTCATCTAATATGTGATAACTTATTAATGAACCTATCAAGTTTTAGATAGGCACCTATTCTTAGGCTTTGAAATTTACGGGTTCTCCTTGGGTACCCACGAATCTTTTCCGCCTTGGGGTCGACCCTCTCTTTCGGGATAAAGTACGTCCAGTCGGGAAACTCCAGACGTCGTTTTTTTGGTGATGGACTTGGCCTCTGAGATGGCAATCAACCCCAACTCTGTCTTCTCCGTCTTTTCGCCCGGTCCGTCCGTGACGCCATTCAAGAGGACCTCTTGGCTAGAGTGTAAAAACGGGTACCCGTGGGCACCCGTGGGTATCCAAGTTTTTCTTGGGTTATTCGTGGGCTACCCATTTTATTATGTAGGTGGTTTAGGTATACCACGGGTAACCTAATATAAAGATAAGTACCTTATAAATACCTATAAACGTATAATAATATAAATATTTAATTATATTTATAATAAGTCTTAAGTTTAAAGTATAAAGTAAGTTATATAAGTCTTATTTAAATACCTAAAAACACCTAATATTTTTAATAAATAATTATAGGTACCCCATTTTCCCCTACGAATCCATTTAGGTCTTTTTTTCCTACCTATTACCTACCTAAAGCCCACAGGTAAGCAACCCACACGGGTACCCATGGACCCTTTACACCCTACTCTTGGCCGATATGCTGCTCGCTCCGCGGACCCGCCCGTCAATGATGTGGCACCGGAAGAGGCCCGGCCCGAGGAACCCGACTCCCCGAGACCCCCGTCTTCGACTTCGTGGGCGGTCGCGGCGGGCACAACGTGGAATGACGCCTGTCAGGTAAAGAATTGCATAAATGGCTGGCCGGGACGCAATGCGGCCTAGTGCTGTGACTTTCACATGTTTTGCGGACGTTGTATGGTTCTTACGGGAACGTTAAGAAATCCTCCTCCGGCTTCCTTGACTGGCCGACATCCCATCTCCTTGGAGATGACGGCCGCAATTGTCATGTCCAAGGGGGGCGCAGCCGTAGAAAGGGATACAGAGCGGGTGTAGAATCACGGGGCTCAGATTTTGAGTTGAGATAGCATCTGAGGCGGAGACCGCAGCAGGTGAACGCCGTCGGCGCAGTGGGAGACCCATTGCTCCAGCCTATGATCCTCGTCTAGGACGAATAGGCCAGTCCGAGCATCAGGGCCATCGGCGGCGTAGAGGGTAAAGATGGCGTTGCCGTGGATCAGGTGCATTGCGCGCGCGTTAAGATTAAAGGAGTGCTCGCTGTCTGGGATAATGCAAAGGGCATCGACCCAAATGTACCAGATACCAAGGGTTTGCATCAGCCGAGCGGCTTGTTGAAGGGATGTTGCGAGCGATCTGGTAATTGATATCCAAACCGCCGGACTTGCGTCGACTCTGAATGTTGGCCAACCTCGTTACCCGAACTCGAGCCAGGTGCCCTTTTCCTTAAACGGTAGAGAAACTAGGTTGTCAATTTCAATGTTAACAATAGTAAAGTAGGGCTCTATTAAAGTCTGGTAAAAGTCGTCTTCGATATCGAGCTTTCTCGTGCAGCGATCGTCGCGGTGTCACTCGCACAGTCGTAGGAGCTCGTGAATGAGGTTCTTCTTTTTTCCCAGCGGCCTAGATATCGCCCTAGGAACTATATTGCGCTACTCAGCTGGGCGCGGTAGTCGATATCCGAGTTGTCGTAGGTTGAAAGCGCAGCCAGGACCAGGTCAAACTTGCACCGCGCAAGACTCGGAGGTTCCACACAGCTTTTCGATCCACTTGTGTTCTGCCATGCATCTCCCAAGCGAGGTGGCATTGGGCATCCTTGGTGTGAGCTGGCTGCAGATTGGGCAGAGTAAGGCGGATGAGGGCATACAGCCGGCAAAATATGGTCGTCCCTAGTATATATCGCTGGTGGGCTAATCACAACGACAGAGTAGATTTTCTGGCGTCTCATGGCCAGTCGTTATCTTTTATAGCAATCATGATAGTTACTCTGTACTTTACCTGCTTCTACTTGGTGACTATACAATGCCAATAAATTACGTATAATTCGAGCTGATGACCAATCGAATCTCACACCAACCAGAAACTGGAGAAGCCGCCGATCATGATTTCCAATCATGGATTCAGAAGACAATGTTGTCTCTTTCAGCACTATCCAGCTAAGCGCCCGAGCCTGACACGTCGTAAATGGAACGAACATGTTGCTCTCCAACCGCCCCGAAGGTCACATCCCCGATTTTCATTCCATTCGTATAACTGCCAAACAACACTGCCAGCATCTACATCAATCGTTTTAAGACTTCTACTTTTTGAGCTGATATTGTTTATTTCCCGTGCCAAAGACTTTCCTTGCACAAGGAATGAATGGTGGTGCAAAGCGGTGGATATTGAAGCCGGTACAAAAACCACCTCCAGGCAAGCCCATGGTGATCTATGCCCAATCGAGGGCACAGCAAGATACCAAGGCTCAACTGCAGCGCATACTGAGTGGCGTCAGCATACCAACAAAAGGGGACAGAGGGGCAGCCTTACCTACTGACGTGGTGAAAGGCTGAGAAATCTTTCTCTAATTTCTGCGTCCTTCAGTTTGTTCTCCTATTCCCCCCTCCTTCGGGCTTGAATCACGGCGGTATAAGAAGGCTTGCTATTTTTGCCCACCCGCACAAAAAGCAATGACTGAGAAGGAACTTGGCTTGGGCCGCTTAGGATAACGTGGACAATGCTGTCATGCTGTTTCCGTGGCCAGACTACTTGAACTCGACCATGTACGCATATCGCTGTCAGCGCTGTGATACAAGTCTGGGGCTTAGAGATGGTAAAGATTGCTGGGCGCGTGGTAGGAAAGAAGTAGGGCAAAGAGTCTGCTATAGGTGGCTGGAGGTTTTACTCTCCCGGTTCGGTTTGTTCTGCCGGGTACACGACGGCATGGTCGGCCATTGGGTCGCAAAGAGCAAGCTGGGATATTCAGTTTTCCATTTTTCCGGCAGAGACTGCTATAGGTTGCTGCCCGAAGTAAGTCTCATTCAAGACGCCCCGGTTGTCGTGTGGTATTGGCATTGATTCTCTCCGCCCGCGCAGTAGTTATACATGCACAAGTTGGTCTTCACAGGGAAACGCGTGCTATGCTGTTCCGAACAAGACTACAATTACAACGGCTACCTGCGGGCCGAGCGGTATTTCCGAAGAAGGATCCTATGTTTTATCTGGTAGTGTTTCTATTCAACTCACGGGCAATATCTCGCCAACTATTACGACGTTGTGGGCACCCATGTTTCAGCTCAATTTCGAATTTACAGATATAAAGTCGGCTAAGACATTCCCTCTCCCAACTATTACGCCGTCAGACGCCTTGCCTGAATCCTCGACGACTTCTTTATCCAAGGGTGCGATTGCTGGCATCGCTGTTGGCACAGTGCTGGCTGGGATTATCCTAGGCATCGCGGCCGCTCTCTTTATTCTTCGTTATCGGCTAAACAAGGCGATATCCAACCCAAGCCAGCTGGCATATGAAGACGCCACCGCTTATCAACAGCGGCTCAACCAGGAGCAGTAGTTCACCAGTATCAAGGTGGCGGCACAACAGGGCCTCACGAGGTGCAAGCTAGGAATAAGCCTGTCGAATTATCTGCGCAAATGTAAGGCTTTAACAGCAATGGGTATTTAACAGTTGCATAATTCGGTTCCGATTCCTTTTATTTGGCTGCTGCTGCAAAGTTGCCTATTGGGCTCCTCTTCGACCGGTTCTTGGGGTTAGGGTTATGTGGAATTGGCTACCTAGGCTGGTCTGTGTCACTGATTCTCCAAGGATAAATACAAAACATATAATACATATTTCTCCATCTTGAATTTGGTACCCTGTCTCTTCAAAAAGAAAAAAGACTTTAAGCTAGCTGCTGCATTGGCCTAGAGCTGGTAGGAGCAGGGCGGCGAAAGAAATAACCCTTCCAGGTGGGGTTTCAGCCAGGTTAAAGGAGACTAGATCAAGAATACAGAAGCATTATCTGAAGAGAGGAGACTTAATTTGAGATGTGAGTCTGTAGAGTTGTGGAAGCGTGTCTTTAGGGTCCTGCCAAGGCCGGTGCGGGAAACAGCGGCCCCCAGAAAATTGGGACTCAACATAGAGCTTAGTTCGACATACAACCAGTTCAAAGCCATCTTCGGACACCCGTAATTCACAGTACGAGACTGTCATCAGACGCAGCCAGATAACATCCGGCTTTGGGAGTGAATAAGAGAATCTGAGTTGAGACCCAACTTGGTCTAGCGCACTTCTTGACAATTGGTCCACCTGCCATTCACTTCAACCCCACATCCCTGTTGGTTGCAGATTTTGTTCCTCTCTAAAGCATAGTTTGAGCTAGATTCCAACACTTTTACCATTGTCTGTAACTATAAATCGTCTTATAATGACCCAAGCTTAATGCCGAACTTGTCGAGTCCGGAATCTATAGGACTGAAAAACTTCGGCGGCAGAATTCCGTGCTCCGAAGTGAGATGGCCATACAAGACCATCTTCTCGACATCAATGGCCATGATATTACCTACGCTTCCGATATCATACGACAACATAGAAAATTATACTGCTGAGCTCTGTGGCTTTTTTGATACTCCTTTAGTCCGTCAGATTACGGGAGGGATTCATGTTAACGACGCCCTGATCCACGGTGGCTGGCAGGCCTTGCCACAAGAATGGACGGAGTGGTGGTCCGCGTGGCCGGATTATCGTCTAGCTCAGCAAGACCTTATCGACAGCATTGACGAAGAAGCTGAGATAGGGTCGTGTATTTTTGAGCAACAGCCTCAACTCGCTGCAAGTCGGCCAGAATCTCTGACCAACTGGTTGAGGACTCTGAAGTCACTCGCGCTTCCTCGCAGCCAACGCCCAGGTCCAGCAATCGCCCTGCCAGAGGTGTTGACGGTGCACATGACGCCTAAAAAGATCTCCGAGGTTTCTTTCGGAGCCGCTTATATCCACAATGTCTGTCAAAGAAAAGGCATCAGCCGCGTTATTGACATGGGGTCCGGCCAAGGTTACCTGTCCATCAGCCTTGCCTACCTATTCCCCGGCCTGCGATGTCTCGCCATCGATGGCAGTGAATCCCAAATCGCTGGATCGCGGTCGATTGCGGCCTCCCTAGGCATACCAGAAGACAGATTGAAACAAATTGTGCATTGGATCGACGGCGCTCCGGCCTTGGCGTCCCAGATTGAGGACTGGGCCGATGGGGAGAGCTGCATGCTCGTGGGTCTTCACGCATGCGGGAGTTTATCAGAGCACATGATCAGGTACTTTGCCACGGTGCCTTGCATTGAAGCCTTGGCGGTGGTGGGTTGCTGTTATAACCATGTCATTCCTCGGTCGCCCAGCTGTCCGGCCGGGTTCCCCATCAGCTCGGTGTTGAGACAACATAATGTCATGCTGAGTGTCACTGCTCTCATGACGGGCTGTCAAGCGCCGAATAACTGGGCAAGGCCAGGCCGCGCATGTAACCAGCAAGAGGGGTCGGTGTTTGGCAAGCGTCGTTTGCACCGTGCAATCCTGGAGAAACTGTTACACGACAAGGGAATAGAGGTGAACACGCGGGATGGAAAGAGGCCAGTATGGGGCATTCGGAAACAGGATACAGCTAGTTTCGCCAAGTTTGCGCGTAGATCGATGGACCGCCTGAATATAGCGCATGGCAAGATTCCGGCCGCGGATCTGATGGCCTATGAGGAGAAATATAGAGACTGTGAGGGTCAGATTGCCATTCTATGGACGCTCAGCGTGCTTTGCTGCAAGGTGGTTGAGAGTTTAATTGCCTTGGATCGCTACTGGTTTTTGAAGGAACAGAGAGCGGAGGGGATAGATATTGTACCCATTTTCGACTTCAAGGTTTCTCCTAGGAACCTAATGATGGTTGCAGAGAAAGCAGGCCCTGGTTTGCCATAGCTGCCCATGCATAGAGCGCGTCTCAAGATTCGACTTGCAAGTTGACAAGATGGTGACAGTACTAGCGACAGAATTAAAACATTAGATTTGTGTCATGCACTTGACGAGATTCTACCATTAAGAGAGTTCCGGTAGCCAACTTCAGCTAGATAACCGGACATCTCAACCGCTGTGTCCTATAAGGGTCGGCGGGTGAAAACTATGGCTTCAGGATTGATCTAGGCCAGGTAGGCCGGCAGTATATCCAGATCTTCACTCAGAAGCCGCAGTAGACAGAAAATACGGAATTTTTGCGCATACCAACAAAAGAAAGCCAAGTTGGGAGCGTCTTAGGTGGTGTCAAAATATGAGAAATGCAGCCGCCTTGGGCGTAACCAATATATAGACACGAGTCAGTGAATCAGCTGGTGTAGGTATGTGTGGCGCTTTTGGTATATCCAGCTACTATTCCACGAGTTCAATTTGAGTAACATCGCGGTCGCCTATAGACCAGAAGCAGGAGTCCAGCAACACAAATTTCCCAGCAAGTGTCATATCCTCGTAGCATCCGAGGAGGTGTCAATCTGAAAACCATTCCCTCCAAGTACAAAAGCTAGAAGCTTATTTCGGAATCTAGAAAGACTCCTTACTACAAGAAACTTTTCAATCTGCAATATACGAGCTCCTTCTCGTCACTGATGCATGTGCCAGCCCGTTCGCTACCTGTTGCGAGCCTGGTACTCCACGGTATAACCACGAACCCCGGCAGCGTCGCGGCATGCTGTTCTCAACTGTGTGAAACCGCACCGTGCTTCTTGGTTTCCTAATCAGGATATATAAAGCGTTGGTATTCGTTCCGGTCCGCCGCGACTATAAACGGGGGTATAATAGCAGCTTTTGGTTGCCAAAAAGTGAACCGGCAACAAGATGTCTTGCAAAGGTGTCGGGATTCTATTTGCTGTGTAAGTGAAACTCTTTGTTGGTAGTGTCCGGGCTTTATTCAATAATGTATGAGGAAGAGCGTAGATATCTGATGAGCGGTAGCGAAGAAATTAGTCATTCTACATAACTTTATTGCTCCGAGTTGTGGCTTTACTCAGCGTTGACCTCGGGTGAGATTGACGGTGTATAGCAGTGTTCCGTTTGGCTCCATGTGGACTGTGCGATGCCGCGAGTAGAATGCGACCTTGTATGCACCTCCTCGAAGCATGCGAGTTTGTCCCCTTCTGGAAACCGCATGCTGCAACTGCTCTCTCCATGCGGCGCCGGACCCGAACCCGAATTTGTACTTTAACCCACGCATTGTGTAAATCCTGCCAGGGGAAAGTCCAAGTCTCAGGATCAAGTAGCATTGAAGAATCCTTTGTCTACTTCTCGTGAGATGTACTGGAATAGCTAGTAGAAGACTTGGTTCACCTTGGAAGTGGTTGCCGAGGTTTGAAGTCGTGTTCAAGTGAAAGTGGAGACGAGAACCAACACAACTACTATCACTGCGCAGCCAACGTAATCGAGACGCGACTTTAGTACTCCGTATAGTGGCTCGTAATATGCTGGATAGTAGTTTCATATACGGTGGCGTGGAAGCAATGAGCTTGACCTGGTTGGCGACGGAGAGACGCACACGTGCCATACAGGTTTATCATTCAACAACAATACCATGAGACTAAAGTATTTGTGTGTTGTGACTGTAGCTGGATACATGTGAGCAACTCTAACAGGTGGGATGAAAGAGTCCGCCAACCCAAGAACCCGCTTCAACGAGTGAGTTATGAATGCCGACTGCCTCGCGCGTTTCCGCGGTATCTACCGTGACGTGTTGTGCTGCCAAGAACTTGAGAGTTGCATCATCGACATGGAGCTTCCTATTCATTCCTCGTGAGAGCACCATCGTGGCGGCGCCTTTTCCGAAAAGTTCTTGCACATCTTCAACTTGAATCCCTGGTTGGTGCCTTGTTCCAATCTCACCCCAGCCCCAACTTTTTGCTCCGCCGGGGTATAGCTTGAGGTCTTTGGCAGGCTGCTCCCTATCAATCTCCATTCGACCCCAAACAAAAGAAGTGATCTTCGGAGAGGGACGGGAAGCCATGCTGTTCATGTAAAGTTGCTGAAGTTGCAGTATACTTGATGGGAAGCGGATGATGGAAGTACAGAGTCGTATTGCCGCGGGGAGATCGCACACATATATCGGGGGATGCCTTCTCACTGGGTATAAAGCGGGGGCCATTTCGGGCGACGATGGGAGTCGTCGATCCCATCATGGGAATCTCATTTCTCCCTCAATTATCACAAGAGATGTGTGTCGGCATGAACAAAAGATCTTCGATCATCTTCAATATGCAGCTGTAATCAACGCCTTGGACAACTATGGGGCACGTGTCATGAAGATTGTGCTGTCCCATTGCTCATCGTAGATTCGTAGACAGCACGGGAATGAATCGATGGCCATGTGGCGCTGCTTCCCCACGAGCTGAGGTGAGTGACTGAGAGCCAATTGGGCGTCCACTGGTCGGGTGAAGGTGGGTTGAATTCATTGAAACATGGAGAAAATTAGGCAGAATCTTGTGAGCCCCAGGGTTTGGAGCCTGACAAAAGCATGGCTGCATATCGAGGCTTCAGGAAAAGCAGTTCGGAGGTGTATCATCATCCTCCGATTGGCACTCACCCTTGTAGCACGCGATCCATTGATACCGATAAATTCGGTATGCATCTGTCATTTAGACACAGATTGTGTCTTTGACCTTGAACAAGTCAAGGCCGACCAGAGTCCGAAAACTCGGGTTGAATTACAGACGATGGCGCAGACGGCAGCTTCGTATCTGACGAGTTGCTCATGTGAACTACTTTAGAGCCAAAGCTCGCTCGAGAAGTCGCCCAGCCACCCAGTCTTTCTGGTCCATGTTTTTTACATTGGAGGGTCTCATGCGTCGGAAGGACGGCAAACCACTTTCCCCTTGTAGACTGCTGAACAACTATCGGAGGATGAGCGGCAACTTCGGATGGCAGCCCGGACAGACGATGGCCGCACCAGGGACAGCAGAGCCTCTACAGGGGGGTGGTGACTCATGGATAAATTGCTGCGCAAGGCAGGACTTGAACCAGGCTGATCCATTGAGATGTGAGGGCTATATTTGCTGGAAGTCGTGACACGTAGCGCTCGAGATTCGCATAAAGCCAACTTGTATAGCAGATTTAGACACTTTCTGATGGGGAAAGACGGTCGAACATGTCACTGTTACGGTATCACTCAATAATGGTATCCAGGGCACTGCAGCTGTTTGACCAGCAATGATCAAGACTCAAACGCCAATTTTCGGCCGAGTCCCGAGTCGTTGGGCAGGCCTGCATGGCCATCCATGTTTACTGACTACCAGCCATCTCAGCCGTATCAGCCATCTCACCCCTCTCAGCAGGGGTATTGAAAAGGCAAGCCGAGTGGTGCGCTCCTCGTGTGTTGGCGTTTTGAGCAGCACAGCTCATGGGCCACTTGTTCATACGTCTCAGACGAGATGTAACAACACAAATGCCGAACAATGACCCACAAGTCATCTGTATTGATAAGATGAGAAGGGATCAAGGGCGGGAAGCTGTCAACGCCTTGATGCTGTTCCTTTGCATCTAGGCACCCATGGGGTCTCAAGGAGGGATAAGGTCGCATTGCCCAAGTCCTACAAGCCACCAATATCTCACTGCTGTTTGCCGCTGCCAAGGATGAATAGGTAGGACTAGTTCCCCCAGCCCAACTGTGTTATTACCTTGGTGCTGGTGAAGGAGACTGCGCATGTGTGGAGAGAATGCCTGACAGGCGACACCCGTTGCGAGAAGGCTATCGCATTAGGAAAAAGATGATCTCAAAAGTGTAAATATTGTATTAAAACAGTATTTTGCTGTCGTCGATGTCTCGGCACAAGCACATAAGTTGGGGCTGTGCGTTGTTCGTAAAATAGGTCGCGTGTGGCGGGTGCTATGCAGTTGCAGAGGAAGGGCGTGTTGGGCATTTGTTGGATCAGAGGGGAAGGACGTTTATACTTGCTTCAGGTACCCCGTGATCGGGATATTTCGTGTCTTGAAGTTTCGCCTCCAGTGAGTAAATTACTTCAGCCGCATGTGCGGTTCAGGTTCTTGTTGCGCTCTGGGGTCAAGTCCCTCGTCTGCGCGGGCCTTTATCCAAATTGTCTGAGAAATAAAGGCATCACAATCTTGTCAATGCGATGAGAACTCATGGCTGAAGCCAAGGTCTGCTCTCACTGCATGCACACTGCTTGCTTACGAGGCTGGACACATGCGCTCTGTTACCCTGGCTTGCTTCATACTTGGCACACCGCTGATTACCATTTTTTATAGATATCACAGTTGACAGTTTTAAACTAGGTACCATGAAAGCTATGTACCCGGAACGACGTGCCTATCACTCCCTCGCTGTACATTGTCGTTGCTTGATTTACGGTACAGAAAGTACAGACACGCTCTTAGTCTCTTGTGCAGCAAGTGTTCAAGGACGTGACTGCAAATCTGACCACTATGCAAAGATTTTCTTTTTTTTAATTGGGCGCCTCATCCCATCGCCCCCAAAGGCAACCGCGTTGAGCCGACGCAGTTGTGTTGAACATACAATTGACGGCATTCGTGCGTTGCAACCTTGTCGGCACATCCCAGATCTATCCAAATGAGGAAATTAAAGAATCCAGCTGAGAAACTTGACAAGCCGGTTCGAAGGCTTGAAAGCCATTGTGTCAACATCGTATATCCTGGCGCTGCTTTGCAATTCGCAGCACTTTAATTACTCACGGACTGTGCTGTGCCTTCCTCCACAAAGTGACTTTACCTTGGGATAAAGGAGGCAGATAGAGCTGTCTCTCCCAGTTCCCTTGTTTGTCTTCTGTTTTCTGCTCTTACCTACCGACCAGCTCTGACCGCCGGGTGCCACCAGAAGTGTCCTTCTCCCATTTGGTCAAGATATTTCCAAGAGTCTCCTATTGCTTTGGATGAATTTGCAGAGCTTTTGCCCATCCTGGAAGACCACT